GTCCCAAAAAAAAAGAATGTGGTCTCCGTCGTCGGTCGTCGGTCGTCGGTGGTCGTCGTGGTCAAGGGTCGTGGTCGTTGTCCTCCTCCTCCTCCTCCTCCTCCTCCTCCTCCTCCTCCGTCCTCCTCCTCCTCCTCCTCCTTGTCCTTCTCCTCCTCGTCCTCGTCCTCGTCCTTCTCGTCCTCCTCGTCCTCGTCCTCCCCGTCCTGGTCCTCCTCGTCCTGCTCGTCCTCGTCCTCCTCGTCCTCCTCGTCCTCGTCCTCCTCGTCCTGCTCGTCCTCGTCCTCTTCCTCCTCTTCGTCCTCGTCCTCGTCCTCGCCCTCCTCATCCTCCTCATCCTCCTTGTCCTCCTCGCCGTCCTCTTCGTCCTTCTTGTCCTTCTTGTCCTTCTTGTCCTTCTTGTCCTCCTCACCCTCCTCGTCGTCGCCGTCGTCGTCGTCGCTGCCATCGTCGTCGTCGTGGTCGTGGTCGTGGTCGCGGTCGTCCTCCTCCTCCTCATGATCATCAATCATCGTCATCATTGTCGTCATCATAGAATATAAAGGGATGACTTGGCTGGAATTCATGGAACAGCTCCTGAATCCTCCAACTTCCAATGGGCTCTGAGACTGGCCTCTCCTGCATCTCGCCACTCCTGTAAGCGCGAAAGGTTCCTTGGAAAAAATGTCATCCCGAGGTCTGCTGCTGCAAGAGGGTCAGAAAATAACACAGGCGTCACTCTACAGACCTCTTCAGTCTTGAAGCATTTGGGAAAGCTGGAAGCAACAGTGTGCATCCATTGCGAGGGTCAGCCAGATAGACCCAACTAGGAACGGCCAGGAGAAACATTGCTGACAGGCCCAAGCAACACCTCAAACTCGTATCCACCGAGGCCAAGAAGTGCACAGTGGAGGACACCTTCTCCAGATACCTTCAGGCCCAGGTGGACTTTAATGCTCAGAATGAATTTGCTAGTATTGAAAAATAAATATGTATATATATATATATATGTGTGTGTGTAGTATTATCAAAGGAAGTTGGGAAGCAATCTTCCGAGTTCCGGATGACTTTTACCTGTAACAATACACTCAATGAAGGGTGGTGTGAAACTTTACATCACATAAGAATACACTCAATGAAGGGTGGTGTGAGACCTTGGTGTGAGACTTTACATCACATAAGAATACACTCAATGAAGGGTGGTGTGAGACTTTGGTGTGAGAGACTTTACATCACATAAGAATACATTCAATGAAGGATGGTGTGAGACTTTGCTGTGAAACTTTACATCACATAAGAATACACTCAGTGAAGGGTGGTGTGAGACTTTGGTGTGAGACTTTACATCAGGGGTGACCTAGGGTTTGGCGAGGAAGCCGGAGCACGAAACCTTGTATTTTTCCGTGTAAAGTGGTTGCAGCCGGCGATGAAAGGTACCTCGTGTGTGCGGCGGTTGCGGCTGCGGTCGTTTCTGTCGCGAATGTGTTCCTCCTCTGTGTTCTGCAACGAGTGGTTGTTCCTGTGTGCGTAGTTCTATGCGTTTTTTGAATCGGTTGTCGCATATCGCAGTGGATTGGCTGCATGATTGTTGTCATCTGGTGTTGCCATGTGCGTAGAAAGATGCACGTTAGCCACGTGACACTGCAAAACGCATTGTATGCTCAATGGGCTTTGTTTTGGGGAGGAAGCCGGAGCACGAAACCTTGTCTTTTTCCGTGTGAAGTGGTTGCAACCAGTAATTTTCCTTTTATTTTTTTTTTAAGTGCTTCAAAATCGTCTTTTTTTCGCTTTGGCGTCGAGATCCGGTTTTGGAGCTGCAATTTCCGATGCCGCTGCGCGTAGTCCTATTGTGGTTCGCAATGCGGTGTCTGCAGATCGCATTGTAGTGGCTGCGTCAAGGTTGCTTGGTGCCGCGGCTGCATGCGTAATACTATTTTCTTGAGCAGCTGGATCTCGTAAATCGTCTTGGAGTGGCTGCATCAAGGCTGCGAAAGTGATTTGTCAGCAGATTTTCTCGATTTTGGCGCTAGTAATTTTCCTTTTAAAAGTCCTTTTAAAAAGTGTTTCAAATCGTCTTTTTTTCGCTTTGGCCTCGAGATCCGTTTTTGGAGCTGCAATTCCTGTTGTGGCTATGTACAAGAAAGCTTCTCTGTGAAAAAACTTTTTTCTGTCAACGCTTGCTGTGTGTAAAAGATTTTGTGTGTAAAAGCTTGCTGAGAGAAAACAGCTTCTCTGTGTGTAAAAGCGTCTCTGTGTAAAAGTTTCTGTGTGTAAACGCTTGCTGTGTGTAAAAGCACTGTGTAAGTGTTCTGTGTGTAAACGCTTGCTGTGTGTGAAAGCTTGCTGTGTGTAAAAGCTTCTCTGTGTAAAAGCTTGTTGTGTGTGTAAAAGCTTCTCTGTGTAAAAGCTTCTCTGTTTAAAAAGCTTGCTGTGTGTGTGTAAACGCTTGCCATGTGTAAAAGCACTGTGTGTAAGTGTTCTGTGTGTAAACGCTTGCGGTGTGTGAAAGCTTGCTGTGTGTAAAAGCTTCTCTGTGTAAAAACTTGTTGTGTGTAAAAGCTTCTCTCTGTGTAGAAGCTTCTCTGTTTAAACAGCTTGCTGTGTGCGTAAGCGCTTGCCAAGTGTAAAAGCACTGTGTGTAAATGTTCTGTGTGTAAACGCTTGCTGTGTGTGAAAGCTTGCTGTGTGTAAAAGCTTCTCTGTGTAAAAGCTTCTCTGTGTGTAAGAGCTTGCTGTGTCTAAAAGCGCTTGCCAAGTGTAAAAGCACTGTGTGTAAGTGTTCTGTGTGTAAACGCTTGCTGTGTGTGAAAGCTTGCTGTGTGTAAAAGCTTCTCTGTGTAAAAGCTTGTTGTGTGTAAAAGCTTCTCTGTGTGTAAAAGCTTCTCTGTTTAAAAAGCTTGCTGTGTGTAAAAGCTTCGCTGCGAAAGAACTTGCTGTGTGTAAAAGCTTTCTTTGGGCAAGCTTTTGTTTCACAAAGTAGTACTGGGACGTACTTTGTGCAAGCTTTGTAGTACAAAGTAGTGCTGGGAAGTGCTTTGCGCAAGCTTCGTAGTACAAAGTAGTACTGGGAACTACTTTGTGCAAGCTTGGTAATACAAGTAGTAGTACTGGGTGCAGCTTTGTGTAGTACAAAGTATTGCTGGGAAGCGGTTTGTGCAAGCTTTGTAGTACAAAGTAGTAGTGGGAAGTAGTTTGTGCGAGCTTTGACGTACAAAGTAGCACTGGGAAGTGCTTTGTGCAAGCTTTGTAGTACAAAGTAGTACTGGGAAGGCTGGGAAGTACTTTGTGCAAGCTTTCTAGTACAAAGTAGTACTGCGAAGTGCTTTGCGCAAGCTTTGTAATACACAGTAGTACTGGGAAGCACTCTGTGCAAGCTTTGTAGTACAACGTAGTACTTGGAACGTGCTTTGTGCAAGCTTTGTAGTACAAAGTAGTACTGGAACGTGCTTTGTGCAAGCTTTGTAGTACAAAGTAATGCTGGGAAGTACTTTTTTGCAAGCTTTGTAGTACAAAGTAGTACTGGGTAGTGCTTTGTGCAACCTTTGTATTACAAAGTAATACTGGGAATTGCTTTGTGCAAGCTTTGTAGTACAAAGTAGTACTGGAACGTGCTTTGTGCAAGCTTGGCAGTACAAAGTAGTACTGGGAAGTCTGGGTGCAGGCTTTGTAGTACAAAGTAGTGCTGGAACGTGCTTTGTGCAAGCTTTGTAGTACAAAGTAGTACTGGGAAGTGCTTTGTGCAAGCTTTGTATTAGAGAGTAGTACTGGAACGTGCTTTGTACAAGCTTTGTAGTACAAAGTTTTACTGGGAAATATTTTTTGCAAGTTTTTAATAGCAGACTGTAAGTAGTACCGGGAAGTAGTTTGCGCAAGCTTTTCAGTACAAAGTAGTGCTGGGAAATACTTTGCGCAAGCTTTGTACTACAAAGTAGAAATGGGAAGTCCTTTTTGCAAGCTTTTCCCGAGAGCGTCTGAGCGAAAGCTTCTTCTAATAGTGGGGGTCTGTCAAACACTTTCACATCTTCACCTCTTCTCATCCTCACATCCTCACATCTTCACATCCTAACAACTTCACATCCTCACATCTTCACATTTTCTCATCTTCACATCTTCACATCCTCACATCCTCACATCTTCACATCCTCACCTCATCTTCTCATCTTCACATCTTCTCATCTTCACATCTTCACACCCTCACATCCTCAAATTTTCACATCCTCACATCTTCACATCCTCACATCTTCACATCTTCTCATCTTCACATCTTCTCATCTTCACATCTTCACACCCTCACATCCTCACATCTTCACATCTTCTCATCTTCACATCTTCTCATCTTCACATCTTCACATCTTCTCATCTTCACATCTTCTCATCTTCACATTCTCACATCTTCACATCTTCTCATCTTCACATCTTCACATCTTATCATCTTATCATCTTCACATCTTCTCATCTTCTCATCTTCACATCTCTTCATCTTTTCACCTTTACATCTTCTCATCTTCACATCTTCACATCTTCACATCCTGCTCACATCTTCACATCTTCACACCCTCACATCCTCACATCTTCACATCCTGACATCCTCACATCTTCACATCCTCACATCTTCACATCTGCTCATCTTCACATCTTCTCATCTTCACATCTTCACATCTTCACATCACATCTTCTCATCTTCACATCTTCTCATCTTCACATCCTCACATCTTCACAGCTTCACATCTTCACATCTTCACATCTTCACATTCTCTCTTGCCCTCTTGCTCTCTTGCCCTCTTGCTCTCTTGCTCTCTTGCTCTCTTGCCCTCTTGCTCTCTCCTTCTTGTCTATTTCTCTCTCGAAGGCGCGGGGCAGTGCCAACGAGACGGCACGAAACGCAACCCTTTCGCACGAAACAAGGTTCGATCGCCAAAAACTGTTGTAAAATTGCGATTTCACGGGTCCGGTCGCAACCCTTTCGCGCGAAATGAGGTTCGATCGCCAAAAACTGATGTAAAATTGCAATTTCACGGGTCCGGTCGCAACCCTTTCGCACGAAATGAGGTTCGATCGACAAAAACTGCGGTAAAATTGCGATTTTGATTTGCACTTGTCCGAGCGCAATTCTTTCGCACGAAATGAGGTTCGATCGCCAAAAACTGAGGTAAAATTGCGATTTTGATTTGCACTTGTCCGAGCGCAAAGCTTTCGCACGAAATGAGGTTCGATCGCCAAAACTTATGTAAAATTGCGATTTCACGGGTCCGGTGGCAACTCTTTCGCACGAAATGAGGTTCGATCGCCAAAATCTGAGGTTAAATTGCGATTTTGAAGCGTTCGGCGCAACCCTGTCGCTTCTGTGTGTGTGTCTGTGTGTAAAAGCTTCTGTGTGTGAAAGCTTCTGTGTGTAAAAGCGTCTATGTGTAAAAGCATCTGTATGTAAAAGCTTCTGTGTGTAAAAGCTTCTGTGTGCAAAAGTCTTTGTTCGTGAAAGTGTTTGTGTAAAAGCGTCTGTGTGTAAAAGCGTCTGTGTGTAAAAAATTGTAAAAGCGTATGTGTAAAAGCGTCTGTGTGTAAAAGCGTATGTGTGTATAAGCTGCTGTGTGTAAAAGCTTCTGTGTGTAAAAGCTTCTGTGTGTAAAAGCGTCTGTGTGTAAAAGTGTCTGTGTGTAAAAGCGTCTGTGTGTAAAAGTCTCTGTGTGTGAAAGTGTTTGTGTGTAAAAGCGTCTGTGTGTGAAAAACTATACAAAGGATACGATGCAAACTATTGTCTTGTACTTGTAAAATATTGTCTTGATACTACTCTTCTCGTCTGCCTCTAATAGATCTTTAATATATTGTCTTGTAATATAGTGTCTCAATACTAACAACAGAAGACCCTGCTCCTCTACGCTCTCGGGCCATCCGTCGTCTAGCTTAGTAGACAGTACTACTGGGAAGTAGTTTGTGCAAGCTTTGTAGTACAAAGTAGTACTGGAACGTGCTTTGTGCAAGCTTGGCAGTACAAAGTAGTACTGGGAAGTCTGGGTGCAAGCTTTGTAGTACAAAGTAGTACTGGAACGTGCTTTGTGCAAGCTTTGCAGTACAAAGTAGTACTGGGAAGTGCTCTGCGCAAGCTTTGTAGTACAGAGTAGTACTGGGAACTACTTTGTGCAAGCTTTGTAGTACAAAGTAGTACTGGAACGTGCTTTGTGCAAGCTTTGTATTAGAGAGTAGTACTGGAACGTGCTTTGTACAAGCTTTGTAGTACAAAGTAGTACTGGGACGTGCTTTGTGCAAGCTTTGCAGTACAAAGTAGTACTGGGAAGTGCTTTGTGCAAGCTTTGTAGTACGCAGAAGTACTGGGAACTACTTTGTGCAAGCTTTGTAGTACAAGTAGTAGTACTGGGACGTGCATTGTGCAAGCTTTGTAGTACAAAGTAGTACTGGGAAGTCCTTTGTGCAAGCTTTATAGTACAAAGTATGTTGGAAAGGCTTTTCTGTCTAAATGCATTTGGCATTTGTGTCTCAAGTGTCTGTGTGCAAAAACTTTCTGCGCCCAAAGTTTTTTGTGCAAGAGACATCTCTCTGACAGAAAGAGCTTTTGGCGTGCAGAACAGCTGAGGTGAGTTGAGAACAACTTCGAGGAGATGAGAAAGGTTGGTCGGTGCTCGGATGAGATGAAAACAGTTGAACTTACTTTGATGACATGAGAAGAGATGGGATGAGATGAGAAGAGCTGAGATGAGGTGAGAAGAGCTCGCATGCTTTGAGGTCAGATGAGGTGTGGAGTGCGAAGTGCAAGTGTGAAGTGTGGAGTGTGAGGCGCAAGAGTGCAGTGTGAAGTGTGCGGAAAGTCTTCGCTTGGCGTTGCCTTGCACCGGGGTTGCGCGCAGGTCATGTTCTTGGACAACATCTGTGCAACAGCTTCGCACAAAGCACGCACGCACGGGCCTGGCTGGCGCACGGCGCATGCAAGTTCTATAGATGAGAAAGGTCTTATAGTATATCCCTAAGGCAACTTCCGCCCCGCCTTGTGCGGGTACTACTGGTGTGTATATATATATATCTATATATCTATCTATCTATCTATCTATCTATCTATCTATCTATCTCTCTCTCTCTCTTTCTTTCTTTCTTTCTATCTATCTGTCTATCTATCTTTCTTTCTATCTAACTATCTAGTAAAGCATATATATATATTTATTTATTTATTTATTGAATGATCTTTTTTGAATATGAAACAACCAGGACAATTTTTCCCGAGAGCGTCTGAGCGCAGGGTTCTTCTAATAGTGGGGGGCCTGTCGAACATTTTCACATCTTCACATCTTCACTTCACATCTTCACATCACATCTTCACATCTTCTCATCTTCGAATCTTCACATCTTCACATCTGCTCATCTTCACATCTTCTCATCTTCACATCTTCTCAAGACTTTACAGCTTCTCATCTTCACATCTTCACATCCTCACGTCCTCACATCTTCACATCCTCACATCTTCACATCTTCTCATCTTCACATCTTCTCATCTTCACATCTTCACACCCTCACATCATCACATCTTCACATCCTCACATCTTCACATCTTCTCATCTTCTCATCTTCACATCTGCTCATCTTCTCATCTTCACATCTTCTCATCTTCACATCTTCTCATCTTCAGCGCTTCTCATCTTCACATCTTCACATCCTTACATCCTCACATCTTCACAACCTTACATATTCACATCTTCTCATCTTCACATCTTCTCATCTTCACATCTTCACACCCTCACATCCTTACATCTTCACATCTTCTCATCTTCACATCTTCTCATCTTCACATCTTCTCATCTTCTCATCTTCTCATCTTCACATCTTCGCATCTTCACATTCTCTCTTGCCCTCTTGCTCTCTTGCCCTCTTGCTCTCTCCTTCTTTTCTTTTTCTCTCTTGAAGGCGCGGGGCAATGCCAACGAGACGGCACGAAACGCAACCGTTTCGCACGAAACGAGGTTCGATCGCCAAAAACTGCGGTAAAATTGCGATTTTGAAATCTCCGGTCGCAACCCTTTCGCACGAAATGAGGTTCGATCGTCAAAAACTGCGGTAAAATTGCGATTTTACAACCTCCACAGCAACCTTTTCGCACGAAATGAGAGGTTCGATCGCCAAAAACTGACGTAAAATTGCGATTTTACAACCTCCACGGCAATCGCCAAAAACTGATGTAAAATTGCGATTTTACAACCTCCGCGGCAACCCTTTCGCACGAAATGAGGTACGATCGCCAAAAACTGATGTAAAATTGCGATTTCACGGGTCCAGTCGCAACCCTTTCGCACGAAATGAGGTTCGATCGCCAAAAACTGCCTTAAAATTGCGATTTTGAAATGTCCGGTCGCAACTCTTTCGCACGAAAGTAGGTTCGATCGTCAAAAACTGAAGTAAAATTGCGATTTTACAACCTCCGGCGCAACCCTTTCGCACGAAATGAGGTTCGATCGTCAAAAACTGAGGTAAAATTGCAAATTTACAACCTCCGCGGTAACCCTGTGTGTAAAAGTGTCTGTGTGTAAAAGTTTCTGTGTGTAAACCTGTCTGTGTGTGTAAAAGCATCTGTGTGTGTCACCGTGTCTGTGTGTAAAAGCTTCTGTGTGTAAACGTGTTTGTGTGTAAACGCGTCTGTGTGTCAACGTGTCTGCGTGTAAAATCTTCTGCGTGCAAAAGCTTCTGTGTGTAAAAGCGTCTGTGTGCAAAAGCGTCTGTATGTAAACGTGTCTGTGTGTAAACGTGTCTGTGTGTAAAAGGGTCTGTGTGTAAAAGCTTCTGTGTGTGTAAAAGCGTCTGTGTGCAAAAGCTTCCGTGTGTAAAAGCTTCTGTGTGTAAAAGCTTCTGTGTGTAAAAGCGACTGTGTGTAAAAGCGTCTGTGTGTAAACGCGTCTGTTTGCAAAAGCGTCTGTGTGCAAAAGCGTCTGCGTGTAAAAGGTTCTGTGTGTGAAAAACTATACAAAGGATACGATGCAAACTATTGTCTTGTACTTGTAAAATATTGTCTTGATACTACTCTTCTCGTCTGCCTGTAATAGATCTTTAATATATTGTCTTGTAATATAGTGTCTCAATACTAACAACAGAAGACCCTGCTCCTCTACGCCGCTCTCGGGCCATCCGTCGTCTAGTTTCGGTAAAAACTAATGAAATCTTCTGGATTCTTCTCCGCAGTTTTGAAATACTGTCCCAAAAACATCAATCAGCCTTGGCCACATCAAATGACTTCATCCCCAGGAACCTCATTGAAGGGATCCATAGCCCGGAAGCGGCAGCTGGGACACCAAAAGCTTTGGGCATCTCCGTGGTATTGCCTCAGCTGGGCAGCTGGGCAGCTGCCCTTTCCAGTCAATCGAAATTGTTAATTCAATGGGCTTTCTTGTCTTTGGGCAGACGTTGCACGTCAAGTGGCGTCTTCTCGAGATTGAAGATCACTGAGCAGCACCTGGAGTCAGAGTCATCAAGGCACAAGGCGCCAGGCCAACTCAGATAATAAGGTCATAGGTAAGGACAGCTTCAGCACACATGCTGGGACGCGTGTATACCCTTCTTTGCATTTCCACGAATTTATGTGTTCGTCTGCACAAGCACTTCAGCACTGACACAAATGTCAGCATGCCTTCAAAGGAAAGGCGATGAAGGAATCAAGCAACTTGATTCACTTGGGTGATCTCCCTGGTCATAATTCAATATGGAATATGTTCATGTCCAGGAGTCCTGAAGTTGTTTTATTTTCTTTCCAAAGACTTCTTTAAGTTTGACTTCCTGCAAATTGGCCAACTGCGCCAATCAAGCCATATCTGCACACTTTCCCAGCCATCGAGCCATAAGGGTCTAAAAATTTAGGGCGGTGTTCTCATGATTTATCATCACATTGTCCCACAGTTTCCCTGCGAAATCTCCATAAAATTGTCTTTTCCCATTGTTGTTTCTGCCTACGGGTTGAAAACCGTCCGAGCGTTTTAGGCATTTTTTTATATGTTCCTTGGGGTGGGGTGGGGTGGGGTGGGGTGGGGTAATA